TCTCTGTCTTTTTCTGCCTCTCCGGCAAGCCCTATAGCAAAAAATCTCTCAAAAAAATATTTCTGTGCTATGCAGTGTAGTAATCACTAGTCATATGTGGCAATGGAGCAGTTAAAATGTGGTCAGTATGACTAAGGACCTGAGTTTTTATTCTTATTTTATCTTAATTATTATTATGTTTTTATTGCCAGAAAGTACATGTACTTACCACAGCAAGACAGAGAGGGAGAGGAAGAAAGCATCCCCAGTGAGGGGGGGATTCCTCTGTCCTATCTGTGTTTTGCCTGGTTTTCAGGCTACTGGGGCCAGGATTAAAATCACATGGTTGGCCATGTGGGACTCCAGCTCCCTTAACCATTAGGCTACAGGGCCAGTTCACTCTTAATTTTATTAAATTGAAATAGCCACGTGTGTCTTTTGGCTACTGTTCTTTCTTTCTTTCTTTTTTTTTTTTTTTTTCTTTTTAGAGTGTTATTTATTGGGCCCCGCAGGTAGTGTGGTAGTTAAGGGTGCTGGACTCCCATATGACTTGACCACTGTGTGAGTCCTGGAGCTGGCAGCTTGTTTTCTCACTTTCTCTCTCTCTCTCTCTCTCTCACTCTGTCCCTCTCTGGCCAAGTTAAAATAAATAAATTGATTAATTAAATAAGTAAAGTTCAATAAAATAATACTTTTTTTAAAAAAAGGAATGATTTATTAGGGACCAGCAGATAGCATAATGTTTATGTCGCTGGACTCACATGTAGTCAATCATGGTTTGAGTCCTGGAACTGGTGGCTTAAAACTCACACTGGGCACATGTACATGTGTGCCCAAAATCCTGAGAGGAGAATGGAGAAGGGATTGTGGAATGGCCATTCCTCCTGGTGGGGGGTGGTGCGGGGGAATGATTTCTTGCTTGCTTTTTCTCTTTCTCTCTGTCTCTCCAGCAAGCACACGTACCCTATAGTAAAAACAAACAAACAAAACTCTCTAAAAATAAAAATAATAATAATTATTTAATTTTATTTATTATTATTTTAAAATTTGCTATAGGTCATGTGTGTTCACCAGAGAGAGACAAAGAGAGAAAGAGGGAGGAAGTGAGACAGGAAGCCACCAGGTCTGGGACTTGAACTGTAGTTGGCCATGTGAGAGTCCAGCGCCTTAACTACCACACCATCTACTGGTCCCATGGCTACTGTTCTGAACAGTGCAGGATTTAAGTTGTTAGTAGGCTGAATGTATCTCTAGTTTTTCTTTTGATTCAATTTATGATTAAGAGGGTCTAGAAAGGTCAAAAACAAAAAGTGATAATGGAGAATAATAAAATTGTAGCAAACATTTACTGTGTATTTGTTATAATGCCAGGCACTTATCTGAACACTTAACGGGTATTTTATATAATCTTTGCAACAGAAGTAAATACTATTTTCATTACCATTTTACAGATGAGAAAACTGAGATACAGCAGGTATTTCACTTGTTTAGAATCACACAGCCACTAAGTAAGGGGCAGGGGTAAAATTCATATGTAAGAAGTTCAATTCCAGAGCTCACTGAATCACAGTACGCAGATTGAGGTGGCGAGTGACTGGGGTCATGGTTCCCAAACTCTGAGCCAAAGTGCAAACTCACAGAAATACCATAGAGTATTTTTAAATTCCAAGGGAAAGGAAGCAATATTGGATACTTTTTGTACACAGTGTGAACTATGAGCTTGATGTAATTCACAGCTTGAACATTAGATTGTGCTACATTCCTTTTGATGACAAAACATCTTTGCAAAGCTGGCTTTAGGAGATCCCTCTGATAAAGGTAAGTATTGTGTGAAGATCAGTGTAAAACAGGGAGTAAGGGTAGCAGTGTTGGATTCCAAGGTCCAAGGAGTTGTGCAGTGCAAAATCATGTGCACATATTCCCTTATTAACTATTTGTGGTTATTTAAGAATAAAATGAAAAAGTTATTTCTTTCAACTTTTGTGTCCCCTCCCCCCCAAATAACTAAGTTGTTAGGAACAAATTACTGAAAAAGCAAAGCTGTTGAGTATTTCTTTTGAACTAGAGATGCTCTGAAAAAACTACAAAGATACTAAGCAAGTGCTCTTTGAACTGGGAACTCTGTACTGGGATATTGGAAACAGATTAGAATGGTCATAAAGGAATAGAGTATAGGGTTTGGTTTGAGATGGCCTGGAAAAAAATAATAAACATTTAATAAGCATTTCATATATCTAATCATTAAGTATTTGAGATCACAAAGCACCTGAATCAGTACACTTTAGCGGTCAAAAATTCCTAGGGGGAGCCAGCAGATGGTGTGGTGGTTGGACTGCTGGACTCCCATGTGACCAACCATGGTTCGAGTACTGGAGCTGGAGGCTTGCTTTTCTACTTTCCTTTTCTCTCTGTCTCTCTCTGGTCAAATTAAACAAATAATAATGATAATAAATGAAATAAAATAATTCTTAAAACAAATTCTGAGGAAAGCAGTAACAGATGTAAAGATGGATTACCAAGGACGAGCATGGAACAGGACCAAGATGGAGTTTAGTGCAACCTGGCGCCTGTGCACTCTTGATAGACCATAACGTAAAGGTGTGGTCTGGGCCACAGCAAGCCTTTCTCAGGGGCATTAGTAAATCTAGGATTTAAGAGATTGGGGGGTCTAAGTGATTATGCAAAAGACTGGCTGCTGAATGTGAATCAGAGTAAAGTATGTCATGACGTTCTAAAAGTTATGCCACCCTAGCTAAGGTGTGGTCTGGTAAACTGTCACTGCCCATCACATAGCAATATATTTCTCTGGTGAAATGGAATATATATGTATACATATATATGCCGCAGTTCTCCTCTTTGATGCTGAAGAAATAATAGAGGTTCTACCTTGTCCCTTCATTTTCCTTTCGTATTGATATTGCAGATTGCCTTCTTTTAGAGTCCATGAACAGTTACTAATTAGTTTTAAATTTCCATAGATATAATTATGTCCTGGTCTAGTCTTTTGTGTAAGCTGAATTAGATTTGGTTTTAGTATTTTTATTTATTTATTTACTTATTTATTTAAAAGTTTGGAGAGGATTTTGCTATAGGGTGCGTGCGCTCGCCAGAAAGACAGAGAGAGACAGAGACTGAAAGCAAGAAATCACCCCCCAGGGGGGATGGCCATGCCACAATCTCTTCTCCTCCATTCTCCTCCTGGGATCTTGGGCATGTACTCAGCCTGAGTTTAAGCCACTGGGTCAGGGACTCGAACCGTGGCCAACTACATGGGAGTCCAGTGACATAGCTATTATGCCATCTGCTGGTCCCACGTATTAGTATTTTTAAAAGCCCTCAGCAGGTTTGAGTCCCAAACTCTGTGTCTTTTTTTTTTTTTTTTTTTTTTTTTTTTTTTCCTTGGGTGTTGCCAAAACACAAGGTGGGTGGTGCCTGTGCGCTTGCCAGAAAGACAGAGGGAGACAGAGAGATAGAAAGTGAGAAATCACAGCCTAGGGGGGATAGCCATGCTGCAATCCCTTCTTCTCCATTCTCCTCTCAGGATCTTGGGCACGCACGCACACACGCCCTGTGTGAGTTTAAGCCACCGGGTCCAGGACTCGAACGCGGCTGACTACATGGGAGTTCAGCGACATAGCCATTACACTAACTGCTGGTCCCCCAAACCCTGTGTCTTGAAAAACAAGCAAAGCCCATGTGCGTACACGCCCAAAATCTTGAGAGGAGAAAGGAGGAAAAGGGATTATGGTGTGGTCATCTCTCCTAGGGGTTTATTCTTACTTTCTCTTTCACAGTCTCTCTGTCTCTGGTGAGCACACACATCCTAGCAAACTTTAAAAAAAGAAAAAAAAAGTTCAGCAATCAAATATTGATATTTTCTTGGGCTGAATTTTACTTATAACTGAGCTTATCCATCATTTAAAATAATGCTTGTGCTATTTCAAATCTTTATGATCTCATTACTGAAGTAAAACTAAGATCAACCTATTGTCGCCTTTACTAAAATTACTGGATAAGTAATAAAATAGTAATAAATAGTACAATGATACCAATAACGATGCTAGATAAACCATTTATTTGTTCTCTACATGTATTTTTTTTTCATTTAGAGTTATTGTTTTTACTTTGCATCCTAAGCACTAGAATGGTCCTGGTACTCAGTTAAGTATTTTGTTAAGTGAATGAGAAAAACGGAGTTGGGAAACAGTGCTTTGGGACACAGTGGTGGGTTAAATAATGAGAAAAGATTAGTTTAGGAGAGGGAACAGGTGGAGAATTTAATAGCTGAGCGAGGGCTATCGGCTTAGGATTTAATGTGAGGTTGATTAAATTCATGAATGTGGGGAGAAGAAATAGCAAAATTCTTCCCAAGTCGTTGAATTGTGTAATTCTGGTACAGGGATTTTCATCTTGGGAGGAGTCTTTCTCTAGTGATCTGAATTATTTGGATCCACTACTGTGTAAATCAAGGGATTATCTGCCTCTCCAGCCGCCCTTTCCCGTTGCCACTCTTTCTAGGACCCACCGGTGAATTCTTGCTCTAGAACTTTTCTTCTCTCCATCTGGGCCTGGACGTGTTTTCCCACACCCTGTAAATTCCGAGTCAGCCCTTTGCCCGGGTCAACCCTGTTTTGCTTGTCCAGGACATTACTAAGATTCTGGTTCACCTTATTTCATTCTGGCGTTGTGCGATCTAAGCAAGGTTGGAATGTTATTTTTTCCAATCTCAAGGTTTCCTGTGAACACAGCTCCCAATAGAGTTGCAGGCAGTTCAGAGGCTCCCCTCCGGCTTCTAGCCCTCTTCCGCATGGGCCTCCTTGCGGGAAAATCCGGCCCTACGGACTGTAATGGGTGCATGGATTAAATACTGGCTGCCCCGAAGGGGAGAGAGGGTCGGGGCTTGGAAGAACACTGATTAGATTTACAACCCAGCCTCTGGCGCTTGATTCAGGGTGGATCACCATGGAGACCGGCCGGCCCGCGTGCTCGGTTGCCATTGGCTGGGGACTCCCGGGTTGTGGATATAAGCCAGCGCTGCGAGAGCGGTGCAGTTAGTGCTGGCCAGGCCAGGCGAGGGCAGCGTCGCTCTGCTCGCTTCAGCATAGCGGATCAGAGCAAAGAGGAGGCTCACCCGGAGGGCGTCGGCCGGACCATGGAAAACGAGTGAGTCGGGCACCGGGTCGGGGAACCCCCGAGAGCCCTGAGGAGGAGAGGATAGCAGTCATTGAGACCTTGGAACTTGGCACACTGGGCCCCAAGGGACCCGGGCGAAGGAGCAAGTGCCCTGGAGACGCAGGGAGGCCTGGCACAGAGCCTGGTGTCAGGAGCAAGGCGGCAGAGTCTTGGGGCAGCCAGCTCAGGCTGGGGCGCGCGGGAATTCAGCTGCGGTGGCGCCACCCGCGCAGGGAGGGGACAGGTTAGTGCAGTGTAGGCTACTCATAAAAGGAACCGTTGTTTGTATTTCTGTGTGAGTTAGGGGTGCTGGTGGAGAGGGATCCATACCCCTCCCCCTAATACCAGGGAATAGTTCCCCCTAACCCATGTGCTCCTCACAAATGCCTATTCTAGAGTCTAGATAAAGCCACGATTGACTTTCGGTGCCCAATTCCGGATCTCTCCTCTTTTAGAGAAAAGCTTGCTCACCCCCTTGACTGGCTCCGTCCTTCCTGCCAAATTGGATTAATCAGTTGGGAAAGGGGTCTCCAAGAAAAGAAAATCCTTATTCAATGAACTGAACAACAGACCTTTACCCACTCTCTCCACCCCACAGCTTTGAAAACCCTTCTCTCTCCTTTGGTCCTGGAATTCACGGCCCAGTTACCAGCACTAAAGGTCCCAAATGCTTTGGGATGCCCAGGGATCGGGTGTTCTTGGGGACTAATAGCCAATAAGGAAACCCCACAGCCACAGGTGGACACTAGCTAGAGGTATTAAAAGGAAGTGGCCATGGCGTCACATTTCTTTCATTTCCTTTGCATTTCCTGGGGATGCTATTTGATGAACTTTTCCCCAGCTTCATTGCTTCTGTTCATCCTGTGGCTCTGTGCTCACCCTACCCTCTTCCTTACCGGGTTAGCATGGTGTATTGTGGAGTCATCTCTGGTTTCCCAGGCTCTGCTGCTAAAGAAATTTCCTTCGAAGACTTACTTTGTTGTGTTTAGCTCTGTCGCACCTCAGTTCTACCTCTGAAGGCAATCTTTGGTCTTTCCAGGTGGGTGAGAGAGAATTGGACTTGAAACTGTAAGAAAAGTTCTGGTTTGATTTTTACTAGTGTCAGGGTTCTGGAGATGTCTATGGCCTCAGTCCCTGAAGGGCAAAGAGCCTTGGTGAAGAGAAGAGAAAATGGGAGCAGACACGGAGGTGGGAGGAGGCAGGAAGGGGACGAAGGCAAGGAAAGCAGGAGAAACATTTAATTACAGATCCAAAGGCCCTTGGTACTTGTTAGTGAGTTTTTTATTCATTATCAAATTGGGCCTTTAAGATAGGCTTCTGCTACCTTCTGCTTTCTACCCGAGGAAAGAAGTTAAAACACAAATTACTTGCCTGAAAGGACAAATGGAACTAGAACCCAGATTTGATTCTGTTTCCCTCTAGAACAGAAATTCCTAAAACTAGCATTTTTTTTTTTTTTTAAACATTTCTCCAGAGGGCTCATGTTCTCGTGTTCTTACGAGTGTGTCTCCTGGAGAATAAAGAAGGGATTGTGGTGTAGCCATCCTGCTTGGGGGTGTTTTCTCACTTTTTCCTCCTCTCACTCATACTTCCTGGAAAGCACATACACCCTATTGCAAATTTAAAAAAAAATTAGGCCTTAGTGTCTGGAAGTGAGGAAGGAGCTAGAGAATGAGGATCCCAAAGGAAATTGTCCTCAAAATAAGTGATCATAATTACATTTTAAAGTCCTTAGGAGTGTGGTATTTGGTTTGTCACTTTTCTTGGAAGTCTTAACCCTTTTTGAGTATCATCCTCCCAGCCTCCCTCCTCAAGCTCAGCCCTTTCATCCTCCTTGATTTGATTATTTATTGCCCTTCTCTGTAGACTCTACGGTCCCTTTCTGTCTGAATCTTTGTCATAAGGAGAGGTGTTAAACCTGATAGCAACAGGATGAGCACTGGAGTTGGGGCTGTTACTTAAAACATGGACTTTGTTAACATCTGCCTGGCTCTGGAATGGAGTTTCATTTCGGTCTTCTGTAGGCCTGATTCAGAAAGGTGCTGGGGGGACTGAGTGGGTAGCAAAGCATGGCCTTCTCCCATGCCTCTATATACCTGCCAGCCTTTCTACACTGAAAGTCATTTAAAATGCCCTTAGAATGGATGCAGAACTCACTTTCAGTTTTGTTTCCCTTTCTAGATTCACGTATGAAGATTATAAGTGCACTGCAGAATGGCTTCTATCTCACACCAAGCACCGACCTCAAGTAGCAGTGATCTGTGGTTCTGGGTTAGGAGGTCTGGCTAATAGATTAACGGACACTCAGGCCTTTGACTACAGTGAGATACCTAATTTTCCACAAAGTACAGGTACTGGCAGGGGGAAGTGGGGATGGGACTGAGGGATATTGATGGGATTCTGTGGACCACAGGGAGGTCAGTGTTTCTACTCTTGGACCTAGTGTACACCAGACAAATGTAAGAGAGGGGAAAAGCATACCACAAACCAAAATAACTTGGGTAGGAAAGTCCCCTAGTAGAAATTTCATAATAGGATGTGTGCTCATCAGTGGGACTATGAAGTCAGTCTTTCCTAGGTTTTACTGAGTCTGAACTCCTTAAAGCTCTACTCTCCCCTAGCATGCATCTCATCCTATGCATCAATCCTCCAGTCTCCATTGATTGTTGGATAGGGCGGGTGCAACCACGCCCCCTGCATACCATCATACACTTAATCCCCTCTCATTTCCTCCAGCCTGCAGCTTAAATGGAAAAAATATGTGCCCTCTCAAGACAATGTGAGGCTTCTTCTTCTTTTTTTTTTTTTTTTTTTAAGATTTATTTATTTATATTTACCTTTTTTTTTCTTTTTTGGAGAGGTTTTTGCTATAGGGCACATGTGCTCGCCAAACAGACAGAGAGAGAGACAGAAAGCGAGAAATCACCCCCCACGGGGGATGGCCATGCCGCAATCCCTTCTCCTCCATTCTCCTCACGGGATCTTGGGCACGCACGCACGTGCACCCGGTGTGAGTTTTAAGCCACCGGGGCCAGGACGTGAACCGCGGTCAACTACATGGGAGTCTAGCGACATAGCTATTACGCTAACTGCTGGGCCCGAGATTTATTTATTTTTTAAATGAGTTTTGGCAGAGAAAGACAGAGAGTGAGTGAGAGAGACAGAGAGAAAGCAAGCTGACAGGTCTGGGACTTGAACTGCTGTCAGTCATGTGGGAATTCCAGCGTCTTAACCACCATACCACCTGCTAACCCTGTGACAATGTGAGACTTTTGTCCATTGTCTTTCTTCCATTTCCTATCCCTCTTACCCTCAGCGGTAGGCTCAGAATAAGACATGTACTGGCACATAGCAACAAATGAACACACAGACTACCGAGTTCTTGCAGACACGTACATAACTACTACATGAATACGTAGACCTGTTTCACATAGACCCTTTGGCAAGGGTAAAGGGCAGATGTCACATATGTCTGGTAGAGTACAGAGGGGTCTTAGTATAGCCTATCCAGCATTCTAATAGCATCTGAAAAGCTCTAAATCTGAAATGTTGAAAGGAAAGGGGGCCAGATCCCACGTGACAGACCAGGGTTTTACCCCAGCAGCATGAAAGACATGGTATGTATGAATGCCCAGAGTCCTGACAGGATATCGAATTGGAGGAGAAGGAATTGTGATGTGACCATGCCCGTTGGAGGAGTCTCTTACTCTGTCTCTGTCACATGCATGCACATACCCTCTCTCTCATGTGCATGCACATGACATAAAAAGGCTTAGGAAAGGGTTTGGTGAAATGAGATAAAGTAGAAGACATGATTTATTTATTCATTTATCAAATAATTAACTTCCTTTGGTTTCGTTTATGTATTTTTAAATTTAAAATAGAAAAATAAACCAAAATAAGTTAATTATTTGATAGTTAATTCTTTTTTAAAAAATTATTTAATTCTATTTATTCATTTATTTATTTTAATTTGACCAGAGAGGTAGAGAGAGAGGGAAACTGGGAAAGCAAGCCAGCAGGTCCGGGACTTGAACTATGGTTGGCCATGTAGGAGTGTCTAGTGCCTTAACCACCACACCACTTGCAGGCCCCCTTGATAGTTAATTCTTTTATTTATTTATTTTTTTGAAGAGGTTTTGCAATAGGGCGCATATACTTACATAGACAGAAAGCAAGAAATCACCCCACAGAAGGAATGGCCACGCTGCAATCCCTTCTCCATTCTCCCCTCGGGATCTTGGGCATGCACACACATGCCTGGCATGAGTTTCAAGCCTCCAGGTCTGGAAATTGAACTGCAGTTGACCATGTGGAAGTCCAGTATCGTAATCATTACACCACCTTCTGGCCCCAAGAGCAACATTTTTTATATTTAGATATTTGTAATATTTTGATTTTTGTTATTTTATTTAACATAAATAATTTATCTATTTTAATTAGACCAGAGAGGTATAGCGTGAGAGAGAGAAAGTGGAAAAGCAAGCCACTATGTCCAGGACTCCAACCGTAGTTGGCCATGTGGGAGTTCAATGCTTTTAACCACCATGCCACCTGCCGGCCCCAACATTTTTTTTTTAAAAGAGATTTTTGCTATAGAGCATATGTAGAGACAGAAAACAAAAAATGACCCCCCGGGAGGATAGCCACACCATTCTCTTCTCGAGATTGTGGGCACATGTGCATACACACCTGGCGTGAGTTTTGAGCCACCAGGTCTGGCGCTTGAACCGCAGTCAGCCGAGTGGGAGTCCAGCATCTTAACTACTATACCACCTGCCATCCCCAATTTTGATATTTTAAAAACCCTTTAGAGCAGGGCGGGTGCAGGAATGGTTGGATAAGAAAATACTAAAAAGTAGGTACATTTCTCTGAGGGAGATAGTGACACCGGCCGTTGCCGCTCCTCTTACACTAAGTGATAAGTGGGTTAATGTTTAAACTTATCAATTTTTTTTTCTTCCACTTGGGTTTTTCTGTGTGGTAGTTTTGTGTTTTTTAAATAAAGTCCTCTATCTGTGAGTATCCCTCAACTTGGTTTTGGTCCCTCTCCCAGACCATTTGTTTCCTAAAGGATAGATCGGTCAGCCCTTCAAGGAGACTTGCAAGATAAGGGAAATGGTAATAATGGCCGTTATGTCTATGGGGAGTTATCTTTGCATTTCTGTGTCCCTGCATGCTCCTGCAAGTATTCCCATGGGACTGTTGTGTTTCACAAGGACAGAGACTTGCATGGGTCCAAATTCAGTCCCTTTCCCCCTTCAATAGCCTCACCTTTATGAAGCCAAATATACCACGAGCTCCTCCCTGCTGAAGTGACAGCATATAGTTCAGTCCCTTTTAGGGCAATATATAAGAACACATATTTAGAGAATTTTGAAAGTTTTGGAAGAGGTGTATGATTGTATTTTTTTTATTATTCAATTTTATTTTCTTGCAGTGTGACTTTCTCATTCTTTGAAATTTCTTTAAAAAGTATTTTCTTTGGGATCAGCGGATGGCATAACGGTTATGTCACTAGACTTCCACATGATGGCTAGTCAAATCCTGAACCTTAAACCTCACAATGGGCGTGAATGCTAAAGAGTGAGGAAGAATCATTAAGTCATTGACTGTGCCCAAAATCTCGAGGAGAATGGAGGAGAGGGGATTACAGGAAGTGATTTCTCACTTTCTGTCTCTCCAGCAAGCACATGTGCTCTATAGCAAAAATCTCTCTTAAAAAAAAAGCCTTTCCTTGTTCCTTTGATAGACATTCACATTGACATCCTTACCCTTTATAGCTCTAATCTTAGCTTGTATTTGTATAATGAGGTTTAATGTGTATTTCCCACCAGACATAAACTGCTGGGAAGCAGAGAGCATGTCTTCATCCGTCTCATTATCCTTTTTGTGTTGAGCACAGTGAGTGGCTCATAGTGTGGGCCCAATGGTTATGAACTGCATGAAAGCCTAATCCCACGCATTTCCCTTTCTTGTTTGTATGCAGTGCCGGGCCATGCTGGCCGACTGGTGTTTGGGATCCTGAGTGGTAGAGCCTGTGTGATGATGCAGGGCAGGTTCCACATGTATGAAGGATACCCACTCTGGAAGGTAAATTAGGGCAGAACCTGGTTGGGTCTGGAAGAAGGGGGTGAGAACTATCCATCCTATGCTATTGCCTAGCCATCTGCTAAATAGATTTTGATACCCTCCTTCCTCTTTCATGAGTCTCATGCATATCTGCCTAGGTTGACTGATGAAATTTTGAGAAACTTTTTATCTTTTGGTTTTAAGGTGACATTTCCTGTGAGGGTTTTCCAGCTCTTGGGTGTGGATACCCTGGTGGTCACCAATGCAGCTGGAGGGCTCAACCCCAAGTTTGAGGTTGGGGATATCATGCTGATCCGTGATCACATCAACCTACCAGGATTCTCTGGCCAGAACCCTCTTAAAGGGCCCAATGATGAAAGGTGTGTGTCTTGCTCCTTTGTTTTTAAATGGGTAGGGTTTAAGGACTTGTCCAAGAGTTGAGAAAGGAGTTCATTTACTTCCATTTCTCTGAGATAATAAAACCTGTGCCCTAGGTTTGGAGTTCGTTTCCCTGCCATGTCTGATGCCTATGACCGGAGTATGAGGCAGAAGGCTCACAGTACCTGGAAACAGATGGGGGAGCAGCGAGAGCTTCAGGAAGGCACCTACGTGATGCTGGCAGGCCCCAGCTTTGAGACCGTGGCAGAGTCTCGTCTGCTGCACATGCTGGGGGCGGATGCTGTGGGTAAGAAAAATTTGGCCAGAATCTTGAGGCAGGGATCTGATAAAATAGGAATGGAAAAAAGTAGATTACGAACCTAATGGATAGAGGGTTTCATTTGAGGGACGGGTGAGTTAACCTGACTTTCAGAAAGACAAAGTGCTGAGGTTTGGTGTGTTGGAGCATCAGAACTCCCCACCAAGCACAGAGGGCTTAATAGCTATAAATTCTGATGACTGTTTCTAAGGATTATTCTTTTTTTTAAAAAAAAATACTTTATTTAATTTGATTTACTATTATTTTAAAATTTGCTGTAGGACACATACAGTGACCTTAAGAGACAAAGAGAGGGAAAATGAGAAAGCAAACCACCAAGTCTGGGACTTGAACCGTGGTTGACCAGTGTGGGAGTCCAATGCCTTAACTACCATGCCATCTGCTAGCCCCTCTAAGGATTATTCTAATAAATATCTCTATAGCCACCTTCTGTGACTGGATAGGTAGAACTGCCTGGAAGTTGGAACTATGCCATTAGAACTAACTTGAGGACCAGCAGGTGGTATGGTGGTTAAGGTGGCTGGATCCCATATGGCCGACTGAGGTTCAGGTTTGAGTCCCAGACCTAGTGGCTTGAAAAACACTCTGGACCCCTGTGCATGTCCAAAATTCTGAGAGGAGAAGGAAGGGGACGGGCTTGCAATGTGACCATTCCCTCCCACCCTGGAGCAAGGTGCAAGTGTACATGCCCTATAGCAAATTAAACACTCAAAAGAAACAAAATGAGCACAAACAGGCCCACTTGCTGTGCTGCCATAGCATACTGGACGGCAGAGCTGGAAGCCAGTGCTACTGGCTCCTTTGGGTGTTGTTCTGAGGCTGTAAATTCTCACGAGGTTATGACTGAATATGAGCCTGAAGAATGAGGAAAAGCGTCATTAGGTCATTTCGTTTGTTTCCTTCCTTGGCACCCTCAGGCATGAGCACAGTACCAGAAGTTATAGTTGCACGGCACTGTGGACTTCGAGTGTTTGGTTTCTCCCTCATCACGAACAAAGTCATCATGGATTATGAAAGCCTGGAGAAGGCCAATCATGAGGAAGTGCTGCAGAGCGGGAAACGAGCAGCGCAGAAGCTGGAACAGTTCGTCTCCATCCTTATGGCTAGCATTCCGCTCCCTGACAAGGCCAGCTAGCCAGCCTGGAGCAGCTGGCGTATCTCTACTCCCCACGCGTAGCTGCTGCCTACATACTTTGGCCCTTTCCTGGAGTCACGTGCCTCTGCCCTAAGGTAGCAAAAGGAGAGGAAGATCCTTATCCTGACCTTCCCCACTTTCTCCCACTAGGCACTTTTGGAGCCAGGTCTTTTGCTCACTTGCCTTTTCAATGCAGTCCCTGCCATCATTCTTCCCCAAGAGCTGGAGCTCATGCCCTGTCACATCGTCGCGGTGGATATGCCAGGATTTCACCAGTAACCACCACTAGCTTTTTCAAGAACTTGTCCCTCCTATCCAATGCAACTTTGTTCCTTTTGACCAATGTCTCCCCTTTCTTTTCCTACCCCTGTCTCTGGTAATGATTATTCTACTCTCTACCTCCGAGTTCAACTTGTATAGGTTCTAAATTCTCACATTCCATGGACTTAGTTCTGCCCCACTTAAGTCACTAGAGACCAAATAAGGACCCTCCCCCCGACTGCTACTGGGTTCTATCTAACACCATGTTTTGAGAATAAAGAAAAAGATGAAATTTTATTTTTTTCTGCTATTTGGGATGAGACCTGGGCACAGGCCATGACTGGCATGAAAGGCTATGAGATCACATGTGACCTGGATAGCGAAGAACTGAGACAAGGCGGTATGTTCATGCAGCAAAGGATGGAGAAAAGGCAAAGTAATGGAACGAGGGGAAAGACGTAACAAGATGACAGTAGGAAGGAAGGAAGGGCTAACTTCTCACCCTTGATGGCCGCTTCCCTCAGATTGCTTGTCTCTATCTGCCTCCTCACGCACCAAATGGGTGATCTCACATTCTGTGTCATCAACATTGTACTGATTTGTAAGTTTTAGGTTTAACTGACAAATAATTCATTATATATGGGTATAAGGTAACATTCTGATACAAATAAGTATACACCGTGAATGATCAAATCAAGCTATTTAGTATTCCCAACACCTCAAGTAGTTGTTATTCTGGTGGTAAGAACATTTAAAAATCTTGTAGCTATTTTGAAGTAAGCATTATTAACTGTAGTCACTGTGCTGTGAAGTAGAATACTAGAGGGCCGACTGATGGCATAGTGGTTAAGGCAATGACCCCACATGGCTGACTGCATATGGTTTGAGATCCAGACCCAGAGGTTTGAAAAACACACTGGGCATATGAAATAGAATTCTAGAACTTACTCTTTTGAACTTTACCTGTTGGCTGATGTCTAATTTTTCCTTCTCCCTCACTCTCATCCCCAATCTCTTGTAACCTCTGGTAAATACTATTCTACTCTTTTTAACATTTTAAAATATTTTTGCTATAAGGCATGTGCACTTGCTGGAGAAACAGAAAGGAAGAAATCACCACCACCCCAGGGGAGATGGCCACTTGGCAAACCCTTCTCCATTCTCCTTTTGGGATTTTGGGCACACATCAGTTTCAAGCCACCAGGTCCGGTACTTGGACTATAGTTGGCCATGTGGGAGTCCAGTGCCTTAACCATGTGCCACAGGCTGGTGTCCCATTCCATGCTCTTAATTCTTAGTTCAACTTGTGTAGATTCCACATGTAGGTGAAACCGTAACAGTATTCATCTCTCTGTGCCTGGCTTATTTCACATAATACAGTGAGTGTATAATGTCCTCTAGGTTTACCCATGTTGTTGCAAAGAACAGTTTCTTGTTTTTTTCTTTTTGTAATTGTCAGGGGGCATATGTGCCATCATAGAGGGAGAAAGGAAGCATCCCTCAATGGGGCACAACCACACTGCAATCCTTCCTCCTTTTCTCCAGCCCATCAGTATTTAGGGCACGCATGCACATGTGCCCAGATTACCCTTGAGCCACTTAGGCAGGGATTTGAACCCAGGTCGGCCATGTGGTGTTAAGCTTTAAATGCATAACCACTGTGTTACAAGCCGACCTCAGTTTCCTGTTTTGTTAATTTGCTAGAGGGTACCTGTCCTCACCAGAGCAGAGACAAAGAGGAAAAAACTAAGAAAGCATCTTCCTTCCCCCCATGGGAGATGATCATGCCTCAATACCTACTCTTTTCCTTTCAGGATTTTGGGCCCAGTGTTTTAAGCTGTTGGGTCAGGGACTGGAACTGTACAGTTAACTATATGGTATTCAGCTGCCTTAACCACCATGTCACTGGCTAGCCCAGTTTCCTTTTTTTTTAAAAAAAAGACAAAATAGGGGCCTGCAGACGGTGTAATGGTTTCATTGCTGGACTCCCATGTAGTTGACTGGTTTGAGTACTGGACGCGGCAGCTTAAAACTCACACCAGGCACATATGCGTGCATACCCAAAATCCCAAGAGAATGGAGAAGGGATTTTGGCATGGCCATCCCCCTGGGGGGTGCTTTCTCATTTTCCATCTCACTGTCTCTGTTTCTCCGGTGAGCACATGCATCCTATAGCAATAATCTTTAAAAAAAAACGAAGCCCAAATAATATTCCATTGTGTATATGTACCACAGTTTTAATCTATTCATCTGTTGATGGGTGCTGAAGTGTTTTCACACGTTGGCTTTGGTGGATAATGCTGCAATAAACATAGAAGTGCACTCATCCCTTGGGCATATTTATTTCAGTCCCTTTTGATATATACCCAATAGTATGCCTGCTAGATTATAGCTAGTCCTGTTTTTAGTTTTTCAAAGAACCTTTATATTGTTCCAAAATAGCTGTATTAGTTTACAGTATCGACAATAGTGCATAACGATTCCCTTTTTACATCTTCACCAACACTTACTTCCTTTTATCTTTTTTCTTTTCTTTTTTTTTTTTTTGAGAGGTTTTTGCTATAGGGCGTGTGCGCCAGACAGACAGCGACAGAGAGACAGAAAGTGAGACATCACCCCCCAGGGGGGATGGTCATGCTGCAATCCCTTCTCCTCCATTCTCCTCTTGGGATCTTGGGCACGCATGCACACGCGCCCGGCGTGAGTTTTAAGCCACCAGGTCCAGGACTCGAACTGCGGTCGACTACGTGGGAGTCCAGGTACATAGCCATTACGCTAACTGCTGGTCCTCCTTTTATCTTTTTGATAATCTATAATTTTCATTTTTAAAAAACCATTATTTTTTAATTTATCTTATTTTAAATTTTACCAGAGAGAGAAAGTGAAAAAGGAAGCCACTAGGTCCGAGATTTAAACCTGGTCAGCCATGTGGGAGTCTAGCACCTTAAGGACTATGCCACCTGCTGGCCCGTATAATTTGCATTAAAAAAAATTTACTACAGGGTGCATGCACTTGTCAGAGAAACAGAGAGAGAAAAAGTAGGCAATCACCCGGCAAGGTAGATGGCCATACCACAATCCCATTTCCATTCTTGGGATTTTGCACACATGCCTGGCATTTCAAGCCATCTTGTCGGGGACTCAAACTATAGTTGGCCACATGGGAGTCCAGCACTTTAACCACCATGCCACCTCCTGGATCCCTGCAGGGGATCCTTTGCCTGATTTTTGATTTGGCTATGTGTTTTCTTTGTGTTAGTTTGAGTTCCTTGTATGTTTTGGTTATTAGCTCCTTATATAATATATGGTTTGCAAACATTTTTTTTTCCAATCTGTGGTTGTCTATTAATTGTTTCCTTTGCTGTGCAGAAGCTTTTTGGTTTGATGCAATCTCATTGTCTATTTTTGGGGGATTGCTTTGGGTAGTATGGACATTTTAACAATTTTAATTCTCCCAATCCATATACATGGGGTATTTTCCCATTTATTTTGTTCCTCTAACTTCTATAAGCATACTTTCCCTTACTCCATTCTCACAGTCCAGTAGCATATACCCTGCCAGTCAGTCCACTACTGGTTAAATTTTTGTCAGCCCCACACACACTTGTGGAGTTGATTCGTACTCAAATTCTTTGCTTTCTTTCTGGGCTCCAGTCTTTCTCTTCATTTTTGCTTAGTCAGATACTCCCTGTGATGCTGCATTGAGGCATCACCCTTTGTTGGCTCACTGCCCTCTTAAATTATCTTTGCTTATCAACTTACTTTCAGCTGGTTGGAGGTTCATAAAGCATACTACCCTCCCTGGCCTATGTGCCTTTTGGGAAAGCATGGTACTCAGTGAACTGATAGAGGTGACATTTCACTTGCTAGTGGTATAATATGAAAGAGGTTTTTGGATAGGTCAGCTTTTGAGAACTATTTCAACTTCCCTTTGTTTGGATGATAGCTGATCACAGCACAAAGAAGAGGCATTCTGGAATGGCCCTGTCACTAGTCTTCTTATAAATCTTTTTATTTAATTTTTAAATTTTATTTATTCTGTCTCTCCATGAGTGAGACAGAAAGCAGGGGAAGATAGAGAGACACTTCCAACAGGGTCTTTTTTTGGGGAGAGGTTTTTCGCTATAGGGCATGTGCGCTCGCCAGACAGACAGAGACAGAGAGACAGAAAGCGAGAAATCACCCCCAGGGGGGATGGTCATGCCGCAATCCCTTCTCCTCCACTCTCCTCTCGGGATCTTGGGCACGCACGCACACGTGCCCGGCGTGAGTTTTAAGCCACCAGGTCTGGGACGCGAACTGCGGTCGACTACGAGGGAGTCCAGCGACATAGCCATTACGCTAACTGCTGGTTCCCCCAACAGGGTCTTCACACTGCAGTCCACTCATAGCTTTAGCTAGCCAGGATCATGGCTCTTACATGCCCCTGACATTTATAGGAGAGCTTGGACATGAACCCAGGACCTTGCTATGTGCAGTTCTACATGACCAGTGCTCAGCTGTGGCTGACCTCCTTTTATCAGTTCTTTGTACCTTCACCCACCTCTTCACCCACTGCCTAGACCTTTAGGCAGTCTGTTAGAATCTGTTATTTGTATGAGAGCTTGTTTAGAAGGAAGAACTATGCATCCTTTGGATACTTGTACAATGTCATGTGTTTGTCTAATGAGATGGCTTGTAGACATTTCTCTTTAATCAAGTTATTGAATATCTCTTTGTATAACACTCTTAGCTAAGAAAATGCTATATGGGGATGATAGTGGTCCTGCCTCTCTAGCGCCCTACAAGTTTAAGATATATTTGTAAAGCCATTAACTTGTATAAGGCCCATATAAAGTAGGTACAAGCAAAAATGGAAGTAGAGAGATTGGTTAGGAGATTACTGCAACAACCAAGTTAAAAGTTGGTTTTGGGAACCAGCAGTTAGCGTAATGGCTATGTCGCTAGACTCCCATGTAGTCGATCGCGGTTCGCGTCCCAGACCCAGTGGCTTAAAACTCACGCCGGGCGCTTGTGCGTGCATGCCCAAGATCCCGAGAAGAGAGTGGAGGAGAAGGGGTTGCGGCGTGACCATCCCCCCTGGGGGGGTGATTTCTCGCTTTCTGTCTCTATGTCTCTGTCTGTCTGTCTGGCGAGCGCACGCGCGCTCTAGCAAAAATCTCTCCAAAAAAAAAAAAGTGACATAAAATATATATAGTGAGAAGTTTTGCCTCCATCTTGTACCCATGTACTCTTTCTTCCTCATCCTATTTTTATGTACTTTAAAAAAATTAATTTATTTAACTTTATTTTAAATT